CTCCTGAACGCCCACTGTTGGGTCCTTTGCCGGCAGCGTCCCGGAAAAACACTGCCTGTTAATAGTCCACTGATTCTGACGTCCCTCAGCCCCACGAGCACTGGCACCCTCGCAGCCACCTGGGCCCGGAGGGGTTCCGTGTGACACCGACCCTCTGGGAGGCTGGACAAGGGATCTGGCGTGAGGCTCTTTGGGGGCACGAATCCCACCCGACGCGGCTCCGTGTCCGAGCATCAGCTCAGGGGGCACTCACTCGAGTCCAGCATCTGTCTGGGCACTTGCCCTGGAAATGACCCCAGCATCACCTTGAGCCCACCTTGTCCCAGAAGCCCCCTGGCCTGCGTCACCTCTGAGGGGACCTCTGGGGTTCCCCGACCCCTGGTCTCCACGTCTCCTTGTTCCCCTCACAGCGACCTGACGTATGTCATTTCCTTTCTGGGGAAGCCACTGGGACACCCAAGTTAACCCCATTCCCAGCCCAACTTCTGTCCACGGGTTGCTCTCAGGATGGGTAAGAAGCCAAGGGGGAGAGAAAGTGCTGGAGTCCAGTGCTAACGGGGAGCCCTTGGGTTCCCCAAGACCCTCAGAGGTTGTGGGGTCTCTGCCTCTGTCCCCAGAGTCCTCCTGTCCATGTCCAGGGAACAAACAAACCCAACCCTCCTCCCGGCCCTGGAACAGCCACAGCAGCGGGGCTAGAGGAAAGGACACCCTCAGACCCAGCCTGCAGATGAGGGTGGGGGGCCTTCGGGAAGGAGGGGCCGGTCAGGTCAGAGCAGAGGGGACGCGGCCATGGCCTCTCACCTGGTCGCCTCAGAGCCGGCACCCTGAGGCGGGGCCTGGGGCGTCTCCGGGGCTGGCGGGTCGAGGGCTGAGTCCACTGGGGCTCGGAGGGGCCTCCAGCTGCTCCCCGGGTCGGTGCTGCCTGCGGGCCGAGGACCTGGTTCTGGGCTGGGCAGGGACCTCCTCTTCTTATGCTCCTCGTCACGTGTCTGCGCGGAGCCCCCGGACCCCTGGGAGCTGAGCTGTGCCGTCCTGGTCTTCTCTGGAAGCTTCTCAGGGGAGAGCGCCCTCCCCCTGCCCGTAATTGCATGAAACCGCAGCGCGGCCTCAGGTGCCGGGATGGCGTCTGCACTCAAGTCTAGCAGCCACTTCCCCGTGTGGGCACGGCCCCGCCGAGCTGGGAAACCTCTGCCCACTCCTGGCCCTCTCCACCCGGGGAGCTGACCGGGCTGTCAAGCGGGCGGGTGACTTAGCGTGGCGGGGGCGAGGGAAGCGCCGGACCTGCCCCAGGCGCCCGCTCCTCTCTCGGGCCTCCGTGGCCCCACGTGGGCTGGAGCAGGGAAACGTGTCCCCGGGGGGCCCGGACCCCGGAGAGGCCTGAGTTCCAGGAGGGGCCGAGAACATTCTCCGCGGGCGGAGGCGAGGGCGCGGGCAGCGAGGCCCCTGCATGTGCCCAGCGCCCGGAGTTCCTGGGTCCCCACAGTCGGCAGCGAATCACGCGTCACCCTGAAGAGCGCTGCGGGCACCTGGAGCCGCGGGCCAGACACCACACGCCCGGAGCCCCTCGAGCCTCACCGGAGGCCGCGGAGGCGCAGGAGCTGAGCGCGGAGCATCCCCGACCCGGGCTCAGAGCAGCAGGAGCGACCAGTGTTTCCAGGACGGTGTCCCCCCGAGAGCGGCGCCCGCCCCGCGGTGGCCCATGCCTGCCCCGCCGGGAAGGAGCCGGGGGCCTGATGGTCAGTGAGGAGCCGGGGAGGACAGGCCTGGACGCTCAGCAGAGTGGGGGCCCCTGGGCCGGCCGCCCCCTCCCCCGGGACAGACCTGCAGCCGAGGGCAGAGAGCGCCTCTCACGCCTGTGTTCCTGGGGAGCCCCCGTCCCCTCCAGGGTGCTTTCCAACGGAGGCCAGGCAGGAGGGGATGTGTAGCCCAGGGGGCTGCTCCTGCCCAACTCCCGCCAGTACCGGGTCCTCCCAGGTCCGCCCTGTCGCCTGGGGACCCCGTCCTGACACTCCGGACAGCTGGCACGCTGCTGGGGCGACGCCTGTCTCTGGCGCGGCCTCTGGCTCAGCCCCGGCTCGGCCCACGGGCCTTCCCAGGTCGGGGAGCGGGCCGCTGCCCCGGGAGCACGGCTCGGCCAGGAGAAGGCGCCCACGCCCAGGTGCCTGCGGAGAGGGACCCCCTGGGGGGTAGCGCAGCGCCGTGGGGGACGCGGACAGAGAGAGCCGCGGGCGTCGTGCCCGCGCGGGGCCGGCATCGGGACAGAGGAGCAGACGCCCCTCAGCGGGAAGACCCCGGGGATCTGAAAAAGGGGGCCGCGTGCTGGGGAGGTTCTGGGGGTCCGGGGGGGCGGGACCCTGGGCGGTACAGGTGAGACCCGGGACTGTCCATCGTGGCAGCGGGGACGTCGCCATCGTCGCTGCCGTGTGACATGATAGATCAAAGCAGGTGAATAAAGGATGAATTTCAATTATTATTTCTCGGTGAGAAAAGGAAACGTTTGGAAAGAGAGAAGCTTCGAGGCCGGGACGGGGAGACCAGGACGACGCACAGCAGGAAGGATTTCTGCACCCGAGTGTCCGTGGGGGGCGCAAGGAAAGATAAAGGCCCGGGGCGCCCGGAGGCTCCGGGGCAGCTTCGTCCTGCGCTGCGCGGGGGGACGGGATCGCCGCGGCCGGAGAGCGGAGAGCAGAGCTGTGCTGCGCCCCCAGAGCTGCGCTGCGACCCCACGGCGGGCCCAGGGCGGCTGCGGCCTGGACCTCTGAGGACGTTCCCGCCCAGGTCAAGGCCCCCCTTGCTGCCGCTCAGCCGGGAGGGGCCTCAGCCCGGGCCGCCCGGGGTGCGTCTGCCAGCTTCATGCATCGTCACGTCACGGGCTCTGGGCTTGGTTAGATTTTATTTCCATTTCCTTTCCTTTTAACAGTCTCCTCCTTTCACGCGATCATGAGTGGAAATGAGGAGAATCAAGCAACATTCCTGCAAATACCAACATGACACACGAATCCCCGTCACACTCCCCTGGAGACCCTGACTCCTCACCCCAGACCAGCCTGAATCCCCCTCTGGCGCCTCCAGGAGACCCCGCGGAGCCGATGCACAACCCCTGAACCAAGACCTGCTCGGGGAGTTACCGAACCAGCCCATTACTGCCCCTCCCGGGAGGGAGCATCAGGGATGCGTCTAATGGACCCTGAGGCAGAACATGAGGGAGAGGACGGCGGCCTCGCCCAGCACTCAGCCGGAGCCCTCAGGGACTCCAGGGAGTTGCCCTGGGGAGGAGCAGGGCGAGGACTGTGTCCACTTGCGGGACCCTGTCAGCCCCTGGCAGGTGTGGTCCCCTGCGGCCGTGATGCTGAGGAACAGGGGTCCTGAAATCTGCCCGTCTATTTGGAGCCTCCGCGTTTGGGTGGGTCCCTTTGCCAGGGGACAGCGGCTCCCGATGGGGCTGATGCTGCTTCTCCCAGCACCGGGCAGCTGCTGGGCAGGGGACACGAGTGCTCTGGGTGCCCCCTGCAGAAAGGGGCCTCTGTGCCAGCTCCAGGCCCAGGGGCTGCCCGCTGAGCCTCAGAGTCGGAGAAGAAGGTGCAGAGTTGAAGCCTCTGGCATCCAGCACTGTCTGATCCCTGAGCTGCTGTTGAGCGCTGTGCTCCCGACGGGGTCACCTCCCCCACAGAGACCCCATTATCCACCTGCAAAGGGCCTCGCCAACCCCGGCTGCAAAACACACTTCGGTCAGGTGCCCAGGTGGGCCAGGCGGGCCAGGCGAGCGTCATCACGTCCTTTCCTTGCCCTGCCTCTGCCGGGCCTCTCTGGCCATCGCTGGCCCTTATCCGCTCACACCCTCTGCTGAAGGACACGCCACCCGCCCGCCTCCGCGCTGCCCGAGCTGTGCCCCCTCAGCCCGCAGAGCCCGGGAGGGGTCTCGTGGCCCCAGCAGAGTGTGGGGGATGCCCAGAGGCAGAGGTGGAGGCCTTGGTCTGAACTCTCGGCACCGGCTCCCTGGCCTTTCCTGGCGAGGCCCTGCAGCGCCCGGCCGCGGCCCAGAGCGTCCAGGGACCGCGGGCGTCAGGCCCTCGGGAGACGGCTCTGCAGACGCACGGGAGGACCGCGGGGCACGCGGCCGCTTTACTTTGCGAGTCGGGTACAAACCCCGCGCTGGTGGCCAGTTCACAGCGAGAGGCAGAGCTGACCGGAGGGCCTGTCCCGAGCCCGGGCTCTCCCCCTTCCCAGCACGGGCCGTCCGCAGGAGGAAGCTTCTAGAAGGAAGATCAATGGGGGTTAAAGAAATGACCCTGGGAGCAGTTTGCTTCAGAGACAAATGAGGAGTTTTACTCATTTTTTTTTTTTTAAAGATTTATTTATTTACACAAGCCCTGGGCACAGTCAGAAGCGCGGGAGGGTGAGAGGATTCACCAGAGCCAGAGCGGGGAGCAGAGCAGGCAGAAGGACCGAAGGACACTGCTGAGGGGAGCAGCGGGCGGCAGGAGAGGTCTGCGCGCCATGTGGGACCCTCCTCCGGTGGCCGGGGAGCAGCCGGGGATCGAACCGGCGCTGCAGAGTCTGCGGGCAGCTTCACAGCCCAGCGCTCAACTGCTGTGCCACTGGGGAGGCCCAGTTTTACTCATTTTTACACAGAAGTGTTTTTTTTTTTTTTAAGATTTATTTATGCATCCAAGAGCTGGGGGACAGGCCAGAGGCAGGGGAGGGTGAGGGGACTCACCAGAGACAGAGTGGGGAGCAGAACGGGCGGACGGACTGAAACACACTGCTGAGGGGAGCCGCGGGGAGACAGGAGAGTCTGCTGCGCCCTGCGGTTTCTCTGGCCGGCCAGGGATCAACCTCGTGCTGCAGAGGCCGCGGATGGCCACATAGTGCGGTGCTTAACCCCTTGTGTCACCAGGGAGGCCCATACACCCGAGTTTTGTTCTCCCCAAGAATTTTTGCAAAATGCCCAGGATGACAGATCTCTAAACACTGTAAGTCCACAGACAAGATCTTGGGGCTCAGGGGGACACCTCGATTTCTCTGGAGACGGAGGTGCTGCTCTGCTCAGGCCCCTCCTCCTCATCCCTCAGCGCCCTCTGGAGCACGTCTCGGAGGGGGGCTCTGCCCTTGCGCCGCCCGTGGCTCCCCACGAAGAAGTAAATGACGGGGTTCACCAGGCAGTTCAGGGCGGAGAGGAGGTGGCAGACGGGCAGCAGGATGTAACCGTAGGGCATGGATGGGGAGAGGGCGTGGATCATGTAGCCCACTCCGTACGGCAGCCCGAGCAGCAGGAAGGCCAGGACGCTGAGCAGGAGGGTCACGTAGAGCCGGCTGGGCCGGCGCCTCCAGGGGCCGCACTGGACGCGGACGAGCAGCGTCAGGCCCGACGCGCACAGCCCCAGGAAGGTGATGGCCGACGCCCCGTAATAGATGAGCGAGATCTCCCTACATGAGAACCCAACGTAGTCGTCACACAGGACCCCCAGGACCCCCAGGCCTAGGGACAGCGCCCAGATGAGGCCGCACACCACGGAGGAGAGGCGGGCGGGCCGGCGGCACCGGTGCCAGAGGGGCCAGAGCACGGAGACGCAGCGCTCGGTGCTGACGGCCACCAGCAGGCCCAGCCCCCGCCAGGTACGAAGGGACGAGCACCGCCCTCAGCAGGTGGTCCAGCAGGCGCTCGTGGCAACCCCGCCAGGTAAAGCGAGAGCTGCGCGCACAGACCCGCGAGGAAGGCGGCGTCGGCGCAGGCCAGGTGGAGGATGTAGACGGAGAAGGGGGTCCTCTTCCCGCGGAAGCCCAGCAGCCAGATGACGGCCCCGTCCCCCGCCAGGCCGCACAGGCCCACCAGGAGGGTCAGCAGGGAGACCGCGTTGAAGGGAAGGGAAATCAGCGGCGAAATCTCCACGCGGCTGCCGTTCACCGTTTTTCGTTTTCCAATTTTAGTATTTCTGGCAAAGAGAGTATCGGGTAGGAGAGTGTGAGGCGCATCAGGTCGTCCCATGGGCTGAAACCCAGACCCATCACCTGAGCCTGATGACCAGGTCCCCCGGGGTGGGAGGGACCCCCAGGCTGGGGTCTGAGGGCTCAGCCGCCATCGCTGGCCCTGGGCAGGCTCACCCTGTGGACGGAGGAGGGGGGAGGGGCCAGTGCCTCTGAGGTCAGGGGTGTCCCTGCCCCAACTCAGCAGCAGACCCCGCACGACACTCGGGGCCAGGACCAGGGGAGCCGATGGGGGACCCCAGGACCTGCCGTCCACCCAGACACAGCCCCTACAGCTGGGCCGTCCAACCAGGGTCCAGTCTCTCCTGAGCCCGAGAGGTCCTGCCCCGTCTCCCCAGGGCCCGGGACAGAGCCTGGGCCGGCGCCCCTCACTGGCTGCACCAGGCTGGGTCCTGCAGTCCCGGGTCAGGTCTCCCCCGGCTCGGCTCCTCCACACGCCTCTTCCCTGCAGGTCTGCACATTTTTGATCAATATAAAAATATTAAAAACTGAAAGAACATTTAATAAGACTGAGTATTAATAAGATCATAATCTGGACACAGAAATGTCGCCCATGTCTGTGTGTCTTACCCGTTCATAAGGCTTAACTGAGCATCAGAGCTGCCGCGTTGCTCCAGCACAGTCCCTCGGACACCACCCGCCCCCACACACCCAGCATAATGACTCCCGAGTGTGAGATTTTCCATGGGTACCAGGCAAGACGGGTGCTCCCTCTCGCACCCTGATCCAGTCCTTCTCAGGTAGTACATGGAACATCTTAGTCCTCTCCCTGGTATGTCTTCATTGAAGAATTAGACTTAATTGCTTTGATTCAATTCCATGATCACTGACCGTCACCGTCCCCCCGCAGAACCCGGGCCCAGAGGGGTTTGTGCGACACTGTCCCTCCAGGAGGCCAGGCGTGGGCACCTGGGGGTGCAGCTGTTGGGAGGACACAACCCACCCCACTGGGCCCTGGATCTGAGCATCAGCACGGCGGGCACTAGCTCGAGTCCAGCATCTGTTCCGGACACTCGTCCTGGAAATGACCCCAGCATCACCGTGACCCCATCTCTGTCCCAGATGCCACCTGTGTCCTGTGTCATCCCTGGGGCCCCTCTGTGGCCCCCCTGGCCCATGGTCTTCTTAACCCCGGCTCCTCTCACAGCTCATTGCCCTTAGGTGATTCCTGGGGCGCCCACCTCTGACCCGCACTCTGTGGGCCCCACTACAGAGCCGCAGGGTCCTCTTCTGGGGGCTCCTCAGGCCGTCGTCGGAGATGCGGGTCCTCTGCCCAGCCTCTGCCGGCCCCTCGGGTGCCCCTTCTCTGTCCCGCTGGAATTTTTATTTATGATTCCAGCTGGACGGCGCGCTGAGGCCGGCACAGAATTATTGCTCCGGGTCCTGTTGAAAAGATGAGCTTGAGATCTCGGCGCGAGACGCAGCGCACCTGCGAGCGGATGTGTCGCGGGCACGTCCCTTCGACCACAAATTAATTTACAAATTTTATCACCAAAACCAGCACGGTAAAGCTTTGACATTTTCACACCCGCTATTTCCTTCGATGCCGCATCCATTCGCAACGTAGGGGGCCGGAGTGGACCCCAGCACCACTGGGAAGGGGCGATGCCGGGGATGGGGGCTACGACCGCCCAGGGCTGCAGCCCCCTCCGAGCTCTCGCTGCCCCGGGTCTGGCCCGGCTGCGCTGACCTTCCTTAGATGCTGACACTGACCCACAGACATCACTGAGAAACTTTGAGTGAAAAACTGTTTCTGTCACAGTCAGCGACCGGCCCGAGGAGCCGGCCTCGGCCCTGCGCCCCCATCCTGGAAGGGGCGGCCTCTGCACGTGGGCCCTGTAGGGCGCCCACACGCACCGCCGTCCCCCTTCACCAGTACCCCGCGGGGCCAGGCTCCCCAGTGCAGCAGCCGCAGACCCGCTGCCCCCCACTCTCCACCCGGTCCACGGGCTCCCGCACCGCGGGGCCTGGCTCTGCAGTGGACGCGGCGTCCCCGCTGGTTCCTGGCTGCAGGCCGCGGGCCCTTCCCCGCCGGGCTCCCTGAGGCCATCGCCGAGGGCCCCACTGGGCGCTGGCCCCGGCCTGCCGTGACCCATCGCTGCTGGGGCTCGGCTGGGCCGGGGGACCGAAACACTGCCTGGCCGAGCCGGGGTCTCCCCGACCCGCACACTCGCAGGTGGATGGTCCGGCGGGCGGCCCCGTGGGCGCAGGCACGGTCTCCACGGCCTCCCCTGCACCCCCGCCCCGACAGCCTGGCCAGCCACGTCCCCGCGCCCCGGAGCCCACTGGCCGCTTGGGGTCTGACAAGAAACACCTGCATTTGGGGACACCGTGATTCCATTACAGCCCTGTCCTGAGGGGAGAGAGTGAGGCCTCGCCGCAGGCCCCCTGCGCCCCCAACGGGCACAGGCCCCGGGGTCCCTCACTCCTCGAGCCGGGTCCCCCAGATCCCAATCCGGGACTCCAGGGGACCCCGGAGCCTCAGGCTGACGTGGCCGCTCTGCGGGGACAGCGCGCAGGCCCGGGGCGTGGAGGCTGCTGCCCCCCTGCCTGTGCCCTCCCTCCGCGCTGGGCGGGACAGCGCTGCCCTCCTGGCGGGGTTGAGGCCGCCCTCTTCCCGGGTCAGTGCTGCCCTCCTGGCAGGGTCCGGGCTGCCCTCCTCTGGGTCCCGGCAGCTGGTGCTCCCCGCCCCCCACTGCCACGCCTGGAGCAGGGACACCTGGGTAGGAGGAGGAGCCCAAGAGGATGGGGTTCCCAGCACCAACCCCACGCCTGCCCACGACAGTCTCTGAGAACATCGGGGCGGAGGCTTTGCTCACCCAGCCACGGGCGTGCGAGAGGAAGCAGCGCCCCGCACGCCCGCGTGAGCACCCTCCCTGCGGACAGGCCTCTGGGCCCAGCTCCAGCCCTGGGCACTGTGTGTGCGTGTGCGTGCATGTGTGTGCATGTGTGGAGGGGGCAGAATTTTGGATGACACGTGTGAGTGTACTCTAAGTGCAATGCATGTGTTCTGCGTTTACATGACCACATCCCCGTCATTCTGTCGTCCATGTTGTCATGTGTCCACCCGCCCCCTCCACCCACCCCACCCTTCACCAGCCTCCACCTGCCCTCCACCCACCCACCTGTCACCCACCACCCACCCTTCACCACCTTCCACCCGCCCTCCACCCACCACCCACTTACCCTCCACCTACCCACCCTCCACCCCACCCCCCATCCTTTACCACCCTCCACCCACCCACCCACCACCCACCCCACCCACCCTCCACCACACCCTCCAGGTGTATTGAGGAAGTGCCTCTCTTGATTGCAGGGGTGAGTCCAGCCCACCCGTGGCCACAGCCCAGGGAAGAGCCGGTGCTGGGCTCAAGTTCAGCTCCCGAAGGAAGAGCGCGGTCTTGGCTGGGGCCGTCCGTTTCTTTCCATTGAGGCTCTAAGGGCGGGGGGCGGCCCCCCCTTAGTGATCTGGTGGTCTAGCCCCTGCCCACCTCGACCTGTGGCTGAGAATGACGGGACCTCTAAAGTGTGTTTTGCACAGACAGGCCCCGAGCGCCGTGGGGAGTGTGGAGCGAGGCCGCGGTCGCGCCGTGCAGGCTCTTTAAGGACCGGCAGCGGGGCTCGCCTGGGCCCGTAGTCAGAGAGAGGAAACCACTCCCCGGAGGGCTGCTCGCGGCAGCGAACACCAGCAGCCAGGAGACCGGAAGAACCGAGTCTCCATCAGCAGGCAGAGGAGGGAGAACGCCCAGGACAACACAGGCCCGCACCCACGGGGTGCCCTGCCCTTGGGGGCAGCTGGGATGGCCCGATGAGGATGGGGGGCCTTCGGGAAGGAGGGGCCGGTCAGGTCAGAGAGGAGGGGACACGGCCATGGCCTCTCACCTGGTCGCCTCAGAGCCGGCACCCTGAGGCGGGGCCTGGGGCGTCTGCGGGGCCGGCGGGTCGCGCGGGCTGAGTCCACGGGGCTCGGAGGGGCCTCCAGCTCGCCCGGGGGTCGGTGCTGCTGCGGGCCGAGGACCCGGTTCTGGGCGGGGCAGGGACCTCCTGCTCTTATGCTCCTCGTCACGGTCCTACGCGGAGCCCCCGGCCCCCGGGAGCTGAGCGTGCCTCCTGGTCTTTTCTAGAAGCTTCTCAGGGGAGAGTGCACTCGCCACACCCCTAATTGAAGAAACCGCAGAGTAGAGATCAGATACTCAGAGATGAATCTTCATTTATTTGTAATTAAACCACGTCAAGATACCGTAAATGAAATACGTTGTCTGCCACGGACGGGCTGAGATATCTGGCTCTCTCCATGATCCCATGATCAACACGAGCTGATCCTCTGTCCAAGTAGGAGCAGGGACGCGGGAGGGCTGAGCCGGTAGCTGAGCTGGAGCCGGGGCCAGAGAAGGACCCTGAGCTGTGGAAGAGACCTCGGGGTCGGGTGAGTCAGCGCGTGACGTCTGGGGGCGCGTGACCCTGTGCGTCCTCCTGCCCTCGGGAATGTCCTCTCAGAGACGCCGCCCGTCCTGCTGGTTCGCACCTGCTGGTCGGGGCGGCCTGTCCCTGGGGCCTCCTAGTCCCGGGTCCGGCAGCTGCAGGAAGAATGCTCCCGGGCGGCTGCGGGGGCCGGAGTGGCAGGCAGGGGCTCAGACATCGGCCCGTCTGTGTGGTTACTGGAAAGGTCCTGCCCTTTGACACTGGCCCAGCAAGCAGCAAAGGCCTGGAGGTGCCTCCTCCCACGGGTGGACGATCCCTTGGGTGTCGGGGGCTGACCCCAAGGGCATGGCCTGAGCCTCTGGAAACAGTGGATTGCAGGTTCCTCCCGTGAGGTCAGTCAGACTCCATGAAATCTCTCTATATATTACCACTTGTGGGGTTGGGGGGCTCCATGATCACCCCGGGAGCAGGATTTGGTCGTCGCTGGAAGCGGTGCCGCTGTGTGTTCCCTGGGCCTCGGCCGGGGCCCCTCGGCGGGCACTGGAGGGCAGGCTGCACAGGGAGCTGGTGAGGAACGTGGGCCCCGTGCCAGACACGCCGCCGGGCGATGGCGGGTGTTTCCCGCACCTCTGCGGGGAGGGCCTCGTGTGCTGTCGTGGGGCGGGCTGGGTAC